GTTCTGCTCTACTTATTTTGAGTATTCTTCGCCCTCGATTTCCATCTCTCACTGTACCTGAAGAAGCCATCCATCGCCTTCCTTGCCCTTCGCGCTGTCACCGCCCCAAAAGATGAGACTCTTCGCGCTTGCGGACCCAGCGCCGAAGAAACCACGCGGACCCGGATGGGCCTTTCCCTCTGTCTTTACTTCCTCCGTTGGCACGAGTTCCACCTCGGCCCAGCTGAACTCGCCCGACTCTACGCGAGGCAGCTTGTCGCGGATCGCGTCCTTCACAGCTGCCGCAGTAAAGCCGTGGGTTGGAAGTTGCACTGCCCAAATATCGCTGTGGTAGTCCTTCTCGCCCGATTTTTCTTCCTTGCCAAACATGTAGATGAGATAGTGGCGGCCAACTCCGGTGTCGATAGGCACCAGTGCGCCACCTTCACGGGGGCGAGGTCCAGGGACCAGAGGGTTGGTGGGGAAGTTGACCGTCTTCCAGACCAATGCTTCCGGCTTCTCGCGGTCCGTGGCGTTGGACTTGAGGTCCATGTAGTGAATAGCGCCACTCATATCGGAATCCGTGCCGATGGTGTACAGGACATTGTCCACAAAGGCAGCTGCAGTAGGTGCTTCCGGGGCAGCTGGCAATTCCGTCCAAGCCAGTGTGTCGAAGTTGTACAGCCAGGTCTCTGTGCTGGCCTTCTGATTCGCTGCAGTACGCCCACCGTGGAGGACCAGAATATCTTGGGCGTGATCGAAGAAAATGTGATGATCAAATCTGGGTGTGAGTGTCTTGCCGATCTGGCTCGCTCCCTGGATTTTGGTCCACTTCAAGCTCTCCGAGTCCCACAGCCATAAACAGGTCTCCTCAATGGGCTTTCCGTTGGCATCAGCACCGCCGTGAATGATTGCAAATTGACCACGAGCACACGCCGCGTGTTTCGTCCGTGGGGCAGGGATGTAAGTCTTGCCAGTCTCTACATCCTGCATGGCAAAGGCGGGGTAGCAGGCGTACGCCGCCACGGGCTCGCCATTGGTCACGGCTGGAAGAGACAAGACGTGAAAATCGGTAGTGCACAATTGGCCATCGGCCGTCTCTCCGCCGAATATACAGGCCTTGTGATTGATGACGGTGACTGAGTGATGAGAGCGTGCCAGAGAGAGGCTGTGTTGTTTGTTAGGAGTGGTTATAGCAATGGCAATGTTGAACTTACGAGGCATCATCGGTGGGAGTGGTGGCGATCTGAGAAAGGGAAACCTTTAGAGGCTGCGTCGGACGCGCGACGGCAACGGCAGCTCCTGCCTCGAGGCTGGTTGAGACGACCTGCTCGGCGACAACCGCCCCAGCTACTGCCTCTGCCATGGCTGTTGTATGTTGTGGTGGATTGTGTGGGTGAGTATTGGTGAATGTTTGGGGTTTCGGATGTTGTTTGTAGGTGATGGAGGCGGCTGAATTGAAAGTGAAGACTACGAATTCGGCAAGAATAAGGTAGGTAGATGTTATCAGCAGATGAAGTCGGACGAGTTTTTGGCAGTGGGTGAGGCTGGGATGATCTGCGTCTGATTGTCAGGAACGACGGGCGAGAACGTTGAATGACGTAGCTCTGTCCGCGTAATTATGGTATGACGTCACGTGTCTGGGCCCAACACTCCTCCCTTGCGAGGAAAGAGCCCTCCTTTTGCGCGATTGTCTTTGAAAATCACAAAGAAAACGGTGGGATTCATCACTAAAGCGTTCAATTTAACCGTCATTAGCCAGCGGACGAACACCGACAAGGATGGAGGCCGTTGTCGCGGGCCGAAGCGTAGTGTGTTGGCTGGCTAGTCAGTTGCCCACCACTATGGCCAGGCTTTTGGGACGCTGCTCTGAGCCCTCAACCTGTAGGCAACTAAAATGCTAAGGCATTCAACAGCCTTCAAAAGTTCTCAGCGTCCTCCTCTTTGCGGCGCTCATGCATTCAGTGTCATCTTCATAACGTCAACCTCTAGCTGGCCCAGCCCGAACCTCAATGCAGCAAGCTTCCTGATCCCATTGCAATAGTCACCAACAACGGGAATTCCAGGGCATTTGTCATTTTCGGAAAGTTCGATGGTAAAGAACGTCACTTTGCATCATTGGGCACATTCGCCGGACTGCCACGGTCGACCGGAGCTCGCCAACTGGCTAAAGTGGACGGGGCCCACACGTTTCGGGCAAGCCCCAGCCTCGGCCCCGGCCCCGATTAAGGTCCGGGGCTAGCTTGCGGACAAGAAAGAGGATGGCACACCAGATCCAGGGGCCTTATCTGCAGGCCAGGCTGAGACCCAAAGCTGAACAGAATTGTCGGCTGGCGCATCCATAGTTAATTGCGATGCTCCTTTAACAGGGGGGGGCAAGCAGAAGGCTGCGACCCCTGCGCGCTAAAAGACGAACTCCGATTGGTCTTTCACGGTCAACAGCTAGGTTGCGTGCACCAACAAACCAGCAGATTCCTGCAACTCCATGGGGCTGAGACTGGGTTTTCCAGGATGAAGAGCAGCTGTGCCGCAATTTGGTGGCTATACAGTCCCATCTCTGCAGCTCTGCCGCATTCTTCGGTTGTCTCGAACATATTTTGACTCAACGCCCGCCTGTCGCTGAGGTTTCTGCACTTCAGACAATGCCCCTCTTGAATTGCTAGAAAAAGCAACATCCCGCGATGCGGCAGACCATCCACGAGTCCGAGGCCAGCATGACCGTCTCTATGGCCGGGTCACCGAAAGAAGTGGGCTTCTGGGAGAAGTGGATCATCCCGCTCTGTCTGATCATCACCACCGCTTTGAGTTCTGTCTTGATCGTTGCCCATTCTCTCAGGTGGACGGTCAACGGATCTTGGTACGAATCCTCCTTCGCGACGATCACATCTAAGCGCGCAGCCATTCAGTCCGGGATTCAGCTCCTTGCGGCGCTTCTTGCTCTCATTCACACCTCAACAGTCGCCGTCCTCATTCAGCATGGCTCCAGACTGGCCTTCTTCAACTCGGGTGGTTCAACGACACAAAACCTGAAAGGATGGATGAACTTGGGAATTCCACGCTTACGATGGGATCTACGGCTTCGGTTTCTCCTACCAATAATTGCATTTTCCGGCCTCGGTCTGATATCCTCAGCTCTGTGGGTTGGTGCAATGACGCCTGTTAGCAGCACTATCGTCGAGCAGGAGATCCTGCGAGTCCCTTCGTTCAAAAACACCACCCTCATCAAAGAATACCCGTCCGAAATTTCACGCGCAGGCCCATCGACCACAACAAAGCAAGGACTTTTCACTTACTCTGTTGGAGTAAAACTGCTGGGTAGTCTCATTGCTTCAGGGTCGTCAGCAACAACCTCCGATGGATCGGTTCGTAGACACGCTAAAATCGACAACACCCAGTACATTTATGAAGGTCGCTCCTACGGTGTTGGATCATCAGTAGGCATTCAAGATACTGCCATCACCAACAGGACCTCGGCGGTAAATTACTCATTTCATGAGGATGGCTACTTGCCGCAAGTCCAGTGCTTCTACAACCGAAGCATGGACTTCGTCATCGGCCGAGAATTCCCTTCCAGGATATTCGGGGTTTCAGGATGGCTTCCCGACAGCGTCGGAAGTCAACAGTACTCCGAGTACGTCGGACACAGCACCGATGCCATCGTCGCGGTCGGTGTGGCACATAGCTCTGAGTCAATTCGTCGCTACGTTTCCATTGCAGCAGGCAAAAGCTACCTCGCCCTGAACGCTACCCAGTGCACCGTCGACTTCATACCAACTCGGTTCAACGTCTCTGTCGGCATTCGCGGCCGAAACATTACAGTCGTTCCAGAAAGTCAGATCGACGACTTCGATTCGCAGCGCAACCTCACGCGGACTGTTGCGCGTCAATTCGAGCTCATTTCGAATGACTTGACAAACTTCTATGAGTCCATCCTAGGCAACGCATTCCTATCGAGTATCACCGCATGGAACATATCCTCCAACGAGAACGGCACTGTCCCAGAAGCCGAAGCAACGCTACGTGGACTGGAAAACGCCGTTACTGCAATGACAGAGTCGATGTTGGCTGCATACGGAGCAGCCCAGCTGATGGTTGGAAACCTTTCCGAAGAAAGGGAAGCAAACGTCACAATCGGGGTGTTTGTTATCGGAGAAATTGTCTACGTAGTTGCGATTGCCATCCTCAACGCACTTGTGCTCTTGGCTGTTGTGGTAGAGACTATCCGGACGAGAGGATGGAAGGGCCTGCCGCCTTTTGACTTTTCCGACCCTGAATGGTTGATCACAGCGTCATTCCGAGGTGGCGAGCTGTCTCACACATGGAACCGAGATGCTGAAGGAACCTTGGTGGCTCAAAGCACTATAAAGGGACCTATTTCATCGTACATGTCCATAGATCAACCCGGCGACGAGGATCAACATCGTGTTGAAGTGATTTCTGAAGGAGAAGGCGGATGCAGAGTTGCTTTGATGCTGCCAAGTCGCTGATTTGTACAAGCTATGTATTTCGTCCATTGGGTGATCTATTTCCAACTAGCTTGTTCAGCAGCAGCCTGCAATACCGATTATATATGTCTAATGTTGAACCTAACAGAAAACTCTTTGACATCGTATCCCTTGAGCTTGACAGTTCTTACGTCGACTAGAACCGAAATCCGGTATCGTTGGGTTCCGAGCCCTGCTGTGATAGAGTCATCAAACGAATCAGGCTTGAAACCCTCTGAGATCATGGCATGCCAGTGATCTTCCTCCTCTTCACGATTAATTTGACGAAGGAATGCTTGAATCCCAATATCCGTTGTGTCTGATCTCGATGGCGATGCATCCAGTAGCAAGATTCTAGGCCTCCCACTGCTTTGGATATGTCTCCGGTCGCAGAGCATCCATAGCTCAAGTTGAGTCGGCTGAAGATTTACAACCAACTTCAAAGCCTGGACCTGTGTCGAGAATCGAGGTGCAAAAAGAAGCCGACTACAAATATCCCACGATGTCCTTGGTAAAATACGACTAATCTTGATACGCTTATCTATAGGTACGTGCACACTTTTGTGTCTCCCCCAAAGCGTGCTGTCGGGCCTGCGGTACGAAAGTTGGTCCTCAACTATGATGAATGAGGGCTGGTACTCTGTCAGATGGTCGAGCTTGTATGACATCAAAGCCATGGGCAAGTTGCAATCTCGCCGAAAAAGGTCCGGCTGGACCTTTTCGAGAAAGATGCCGCAACGGTGAGTTGAAGTGCCAATATCCAGGCGGAGAACGTATCGAATAATTCCTCCGTTATCCTCTTCTGGTAGCAATATAGGCTTGGGTACAATGGCGAGGCCTAAAATACCATGGTGACAAGGTCTCTGGATATCTTTATCTGACGGGATCACGACCATGCAAAGATTCCTTCCCATAAAACGAGGCCCTCTGCTGGTCAGTTCCATCCCAACATCATAATTTCGAAAGCGTGTAACTGCTTGCGTTTTTTCATGACCGGCGAAGTCCGCTGGAGATGACGCGAAGGCCACTGATGTTCGGGAGTGGAGGGGTCTGCGAGAATCCCATGCGAGTAATGAGGTATCGTCGTCCTTTTTGCAAATCTCCTCCTGTAGTCGTCGAAATGCTTTCTGACCTTCTCCGTAGAGCATTGGCATGTTTATGTCGAAGATTCCTAATAACGAATATGCCACATCCTCCTTTCGTCTCGTGCTTCTTGTAGCCGCCCAAGCCATCCGCGTCGCCACGGGGATGTCCCACAGGGGTGTCTTGCCAAGCAGCACGTCGCAAAGAATTCCCGTGATGTCTGAGATGATCTCGACCAAGGATTCTTTCGTACCCAACAGATTCCAATCCTGATCGTAAAACCGCACTTCAGCGGGAGCGAGCAATTCCTGAAGTGTCCAGCCTCTGGTAAACCATCTGCAGTTACGAAGGTGCTTCTCCAAAGATCGTGTGCGGGGCATGTCTGCCAAGTATGCGTAGCAGGCCTGCGCGTCATGGTAATATTTGAACATGGAATTGATCGATTCCGAAAGGTCCGCGCTGCTCGTTTTGTCAATGCAGCAGGTGTCTACCCAAGCATAGTCAACTCCACGAGCTCGAGCTAGGCGACATATTTCCTCGATTTTCTCGAACCCCTTCATGTTCTGGGCGACATCGATGTCTTGAAAGTCTTGGAAGCTGACTTCCTCCTCATCCCAAGTATGAGATAGGATGACATAGGTGGGGATTTCTTCGTCAAAGACCTCTTCTATTTTCAGTGTTCTCACATCGATAAGCTTCATCATCGACGTTGACCATTGATGAAGAACTGCAGCTGGAATCTAATTAGTACGCGTCAACAAGATCCTGAAGGTTGAAAGAGGCTGGAATTAATTTTGGGCCCCAAGATTGGAGATAAGAAATAGCCTAACCTCTTAGTCTGACTATTCTTACTGCATGTGTGAGCTGGCGTGCATGAAGTGCCGCATGACCACCACAAGGAAAGCCGGGGATAAGCCGAGATCCTTACCAAAACTAGTACTGCAATTTCATTCGTTCATCATTTAATCCTACTAGACACCGTCTCTGAGGGAATGCTTTTGCCGAGGCCCAATTTGATCCTGTAGCAAAGCCAGATATCAGATCTCATTCTGCCGCGTTCTTATGTACTGCCTCTTCGATTAACATTGTTGATAGTAAATCAACAATGTCCGTTGGAGATGTAGCAAGCTCGAAATCCGCCGTTTCTAAATAGTTAATACTAATATGTGTAGTAGTATTCAGTGTGGCTAGTCTTTTGTTGAAGCGTCCGAAGTTGACCTTAATCACACGCACCACCCCCAGTTCAATCTGCAAGCCGATTGCTGTAATTCTTCGGCCACAGGTAGTCCCAATAAAGGGGGGATAACTTAAGAACGCCGCCATCGAGAAAGCCCAATAAAAACAAAATTCGACTTGGTATTTATCGGGATGGAGACGGTGTGTCTTGATGTTGCTCCAGTATTGCTACTTCATGTAGCTACCTCAGTCTTGCCTCTTGTGACTACAACGGCTCAACTACAACGCTTCTACTTCAATTTGCACCCCGGCTGTTCTTAGACGATCAGCCAGAGGCTGTCCCAACGTTGCTGGCGTCAGAATCCCGCCTCCCAATTTGTGTGCGACACAATCCTCCCCAGAGTCGAGTAAAATCATAGCTGCCTCAACCGCCATCATGCCCGAAAACACGTAGGAGTCGCCGTTGTATCTCAACCTCGCCTGCACTCCTCTTTGGAGAAGAGGATTCCTTTGGAAATCTTGCGCATCTTCTTTCAGGTCTGCGATGGCCACGCCGCGATACTCAATGAAATTCTTCTGTCTTTCTTGCTCACTCGGTCCAGAGCCTGGAGGTACGAGCAGCTTTATCAACCATTTCACGGGCGGAAGAATGGCCGGGAGAATGGTCATAACCCAAACAAGAACCCAAAAAGCCCAGCCGTGCACTACAGACGGGTGTCGCTGAACGCTCCTGAAGTCGAAATTCGGACCGTATGATGTGGGTGTAAGGCCGCTATATTCTGCCTGCTGCAGCAAACCCCATGTTCGTTGAACAATTGCTTGGTCATGCGTTCCCGTCATACCAAATCCGAGCGTACCAAGTTTAAGTCGCTCGATTATGTCTTTGCTGACGTTTCTGCTCTCATCAGCTTGGGATCTCGCAGGACGGATAGGCGATAATGCCCAAGGCTTTCCGGCTTTCAGAATGTTTCTTAAGCCGTATGATGAGACAGAAGTTACTAAGCCATTCAATGTGCCACCGCTTGCTTGTACTCTCGAGTCATGGACTGATATTAGACCAGCCGATGTTGGGCAGTCGAATGTCTCCTTGACCTTTTCAACCATGAGGCACGTGAGAAGGTCGGCAGGCAGACTGCCGACTCCACACGAAGGTATCATCTTTGAACCGGCCATCAGTATTTAGGCATCTTATCTGAGTGCGTGTCATGATTCTAGAGGAAGGTCTTACCATGGCCCCCGTTGACTTGACAGTGTCTTCATAGGCTTTGATCATTTCCAGTACGGAAGGAGTCTCGCCGTTACTGGTATAATATTAGAGAATATTGGTTTAAGGCCATAAAATGCTTTGAACTCACATATCAACATAATGAGTCCCGTTCTCGGCGCAGCTTTTGAACACCAAGACACCATGCTGGGGAAAAGGGCCCACCGTCGCAACCAAACACCGGGTCTGCCTAGCCAGAGCGTCAAGCGATTGGGCCGTGAATTCGACGGGAATGACGTCTTCAAGATTCAGGGATCAGCGTGAGTTCACCCCAAAAGAATTAATTTGGCGAATCGACGGTTCTCACCAGGGTTCTGAGAAGTCTTCAGTCTCAGTTCTTCGGCCAATTTAGTCAATTTCGCCCCAGAACGACCTGCGATGGCCCACTTCAGATCACGATCAATTTCCGCGAGGTGCATCGCAGCGAAGCGACCTGTAAATCCTGTTGCTCCGAGAAGAACAACATCGTACTCGCGATCTGAATTCTTGGTAAAACGAGCCATGATGCCGGCATCGATCGAGTTCATTACTCCATCTATGCAAAAGCGTTCGGAGGTCGTCTATACGATGGGTTGGCAGTATTTAAACGCATGAAGAAGAGCCACGTCTAGAAACAGACAGTTCCTCCGCAGACCGACTTAAGAATCCTTTGAAATCGTCACACTCGGAGATATATAGCAATAGTAATTCATTGGTATTCAGTCGGACGAATTCATGGCCCAGATCTGACTCCACAACTTTTCTCTGAGTCTGCTTCTGTGAAGTTCATCTGTCTATCAAGATGGCAGCGGCGGACAGACAGAGAGGGCCGTCCAAAGTACCTCCGCTCGTCTTTCCCTTTTGTTGGACTAGAAACCGTCGGACATTGAGCCAAATTCCGCTTATGGCGCGTTTCATTCGTCAAAAGTACCGAAGGATTCCCGTCGGTGCAGCTGGTTCATCCGCCCATCCATACGAAAGTGAACGCCCGTCAAACCAGTATTCGCAGCTGAAATAGACTACCAGAAGTCTGTAGGTGAGTAGATGGCATTGTGCACGATCGAAGCGACGGCAATGAACATGACGATGGAATGGTGCAGCGATACAGACTTTTGAACAAAAAGCTCAGAAAGTATAAGTCCCGGAGACAACTCCCTATGATAGCACCAATGAGTACAGCATGGTTCTGTCGCATGATGAAACCCTCGGAGTCGTCTCTGCTTTGCCGGCCGATGCCGGAAGCTCTCCGACAAAAACCCCGACGCCGGAACCGGATGAGACGGAGACCACGGCGATGCAACCAAGTGGCGTCACTCCGTTTGAGCTGAGAATTCGACTGCCGAGCCGACTGCCAGATCAGCACCGCTGAGCCACACTGCGGAAGACACGGGGGCCGTGGCCTCTTTTGCACGCCAGATTTCCGGACATTCTCTCCGGTTACCATCGAAGTCGCTTCGGAATCACCATTGCCACTCTCAGGCAAAGTCAATTCCGTTCTCATACTCTTTAAACCTGTCAGACGTATCAAGATAAGATCGGAGCAAATAAACGTGAAGCGCTTAAAATTTCCCGGAGGCCAAACGATCATGTGCAGATTGCGGGGTCCCATCTCCAACCAAGTCGTATCCAAGAATTGCGTGCTTGGCCCCCAAGATAGCAACATCGCGCAGCTACCATTTCTAATCAGCACCGTCCTTGAGGCCGCTTCATGCCACCATTCAAGTTGCTGACTTCGATATGAATGGCGTCATTTCCCCTCCATCCACAGGACCCGATACCTCCATCTTTCGTCTCATGTACCCCAAGAAGCCAATGGACTGTAGTTTTGTAGCCATAGATCGGGGCCGCGTCGGCTGAATATTGTTTTCTTTGGACGGTCGGGCAGCCAACGCAATCCAATCCCTGCCAGCATGCAATTCTTCTGGTTGAGTGCCCCTCATCGATGATCGGATAAGCTCCGACAGTCATGCCTTTTGGAGGGGTAATCTATATAAGAGCAATCGGACACTTTCCACCAAGCTGCGTTTCTCGCAGATAGAACAGCCTTGAGAACAAGTGCAATCATACGCATAATCAGACAAAATGGCACCTTCAGCAACATCGACGTCCACCGTGACGGACCCGGCTAACCTGCCGGTAAACAACCTCCGCTTGTACGCTGACGGCTCCGGCGACTACAAGGAGCTGTCTCCTGTTGTTTACGACAAGGAGACCGAGTCCAAGGGAGGAGATGGCCATGAGGGCGCCAAGGTTCGTTCTTCTGAGAATCCCATTTGAGCATCCAGCGACTGATCTGTAAAATGTAGTATCCTCACTACCTCCCCACGTGGAACCCCGAGCAGAAATACCCCCCTCTGCAACCATTCCAGCACGTAGAACACGGAAAGAACGCAGACCCCAGTTTCCCCAACCTTCTCCCCAAGAGTGAGGCTCAGGTCACTGACCTGACGCCCACCATCGGTTCTGAGGTCAGGGGCATCCAGCTGAGCAAGCTCAGCGACGCCGGAAAGGACGAGCTGGCTCGCTACGTTGCCGAGCGCAAGGTCGTTGCTTTCCGCGGGCAGGACTTTGCCGACCTTCCCATCGACAAGGCCCTCGAGTTTGGCGGTTACTTCGGTCGCCATCACATCCACCCTACCTCTGGATCTCCTGAGGGCTTTCCCGAGATTCACCTAGTCCACCGTGCGGCAGGTGACCGCTCAGCTGAACAGTTCTTCGCCACCAGAACCAGCTCCATTGCCTGGCACTCCGATGTCTCTTATGAGGCCCAGCCTCCCGGTACCACCTTCCTGTACATCCTCGACAAGCCCGAGACTGGAGGCGACACTCTCTTCTGCGACGCCGTTGAGGCCTACAGGCGTCTGAGCCCGCTGTTCCAAGAGAGACTCCACGGCCTGCAGGCGGTGCACTCCGGTATCGAGCAGGTGGCTGCCTCTGTGAAGAAGGGCAGCATCAAGCGCCGCGATCCTGTCGCCAACACCCACCCTCTTGTCCGCACACACCCGGCTACTGGCGAGAAGGCGCTCTACATTAACCCTCAGTGTAAGTCGATACTGAAGACGCCAAAATGCATATGCTGATTCAAAAATAGTCACCCGTGAGATCGTCGGTTTGAAGAAGGAAGAGTCCGACGCTCTTCTTAAGTTTTTGTACGAGCACATTGCTTGGGGCGCAGACTTCCACGCCCGTGTGAAGTGGGAGGAAGGCACCGTTGTCGTTTGGGACAACAGAGTCACTCAGCACTCTGCGCTCGTTGACTGGAACAATGGCTCCCGAAGGCACCTTGCCAGAATCACTCCTCAGGCCGAGAGGCCATACGAGACCCCATTCAAGGGTTAGGTTTTGAGTATGAGTGAGGCTGCGTAAATAAGAAGACCGGCGAGGTCATCAAGGGACCATCTGAACCAAGAATGGTGGTGTGTCCGCAGTAAAATACTGCAACAATTATTATGGAAAGACTTGAATCATGATGAATGCCAATTTTACGATTTCTAATAATCTGACCCCCGACTTGTGATCGTCTTGAGTTCACCTGAGGAGTTCTTTTCGCTCCTATTTTGCCACAACGGGCTCAACGATCTCAAGTTGAGAGAGTCACGGTGAAAGGGGTAACTCGAAGACCCTTTCCCATGCAGTCGGGTCGTCTGTCAGTGGCACAGGCCATGTTGCATACCCATTCCCCCGGGAACGAGTGTTTCCAACATCGGAATAGCTTACCCTACACGACTTGCCGAACTGAAGCTATTTTCGAACTTTGTCTCCCTGCGCAAGCCACTGCTAAGATCCAGACATGCATGGAACCCTCGATGACAGGGGCAGAAGACAAAGACTAAAGGCTAAGATAAGCCTGAAATTGTAGCAGCGTTGGCTGGACTTCGAGACGTCCGCGCTGCGCCAGGGTGGGCTGTCCATTTGGCTGTTATCTGATTGGTCGGTTCTTCGACATCGCGCATATTTCTCTGTCGTAATCCCATGGCTAAGATCACGCAATGCCGTTCCCATCCCTTTTTCGTTAACAAAACGTGCCGGCTTGCATGCAACCCAAATCAAATGCGAAGAGCCAAGAGGTTGGGTCTGGATTATCCCCGTCTTTTGACGAACTATCCACAGGAGGCAATTCATTCGCCATCTCACCAAGACAGCACTAGCAGAATTTCCCCAGTCTGCATATGCGCCGTCCCACGAATGAGCCCCCCATGGTTCCAGACGGGATCCCTCCCGCTTAACTGAGCCCTTCGTAAGCTTGTTTGTTAGTCTTCGGCTGCTCCATTACCTGTCACTGATCATTCCCGAAAGCTGGAACCACTCCGGATCCTACTCGACCCCCCACGGGCCCGTTACGAGTCGTTGACCATTGATGCACAGCGCAATTCCGTGAAGCAATTGCACCATAGATAAGACGGCTTATTCGCTGCACAGGTCGAATCGCTTATGGTGCGATCGCCCTGGATCATCGCGACACTGCGGCCAGTATTTTCTTCTCTGCACCCCTGCCATCCGACGTCAAGCCGGAGAGTTGAGATGAATTACGCGTAGAGACCAATGCCCAGATTGCCGGGTTCATGGAGGGCATCTATAAAGGTTGTTGCATCTCCGCGGAACCATACCAAATTGTCGGGAATCCGAGGTTGTGATGCACCTGTCGAGGCTCTAATAACATCTGCAAGGACTGAAAAAACTGTGACAATTCCCGTTGTTCAAAGTTGCCGGTCATTCAGCCATGGCTTCAACCAACACTGGAGGGCCCTTCAAGGACCATCCTGAGGAGACCAAAGACGTTAGCACCTCCCAGTCGCAGGCCACGGACGCATCAGTGTCATCGCTGAGGGAAGTGTCCGACAATGCGTACGGCTCAACGGATGAGCATGTTTTCTCCGACCCCAGTATCGCCGAATACTGGCGCAAGGTGTACGAGAAGGCGCAGTACGAGAACCGACACCGTTTCGATCCGAGCTACCAATGGTCGGCAGAGGAAGAGAAGAAGCTGGTCAGAAAGGTAAGATTGACTGACCTGTTGACTACGGGACAAAATGTGTTCAAATTGATGCTTACTTGAATGTGTATAGATCGACAAGCGCATCATGGTTTGGGCTTGGGTCATGTTTTGCGCTCTTGATCTCCATCGTCGTAATATTAACCGAGCGATTTCCGACAACATGGTACGTACGCCCATGGGGAGACAATTGAATACGAATGCCAACTGACCTGTTCAAAAGCTTCCGGAACTCGGCATGAACACGAACGATTACAACTATGGCCAGACGGTTAGTGCACCCAAAAAATTCTGGAACACAATTAGACTCACACTCGGGGGTAGATCTTCCTTCTGACGTTCCTCTCCGCGGAGTTGCCCAGTGGGCTCATCAGCAAGAAGCTCGGTGCCGACAGGTGGATCCCAACCATTATGGTGGGTTGGTCTATCACGGCTGGCTGCCAGGCTTTCTTGTCGAGTCGCGCTGGCTTCTATGCCATCAAAGCCCTTCTTGGCCTATTGATGGGCGGTTTCATCCCGTGAGTGGCCGTTCGATATCGAGGATTGTTGGACGTTGCTAACTCATCTTAGTGACATTGTCCTGTGGCTCACCTACTACTACAAGTCGAACGAACTCCCGCTCAGACTCGCCTGGTTCTGGACTGCCCTCAGCACCGTCAACATCGTGGGATCCTTGCTCGCCGCCGGTGTTCTCCAGATGCGAGGAATCGCACGATGGTCTGGTTGGAGATGGCTGTATGTAAACCCGTCATGCATGATGTTAATACTCCAACTAATGATGCTAAAGGTTTCTCTTGGAGGGAATTGTGACCCTCATCATCGGCATCTTCTCGTGGGGTCTCATGCCCCCTGGCCCCTGCCAAACTAAAAACTGGTTCCGGGGTAAGAATGGATGGTTTTCAGACCACGAAGAGTACATCATGGTCAACCGTCTGCTGCGGGACGACCCGAGCAAGGGTGACATGCACAACCGAGAAGCAGTCGGCCCCTCTCAGCTGTTCAAGGTCGTCAAGGACTGGGAACAATGGCCTCTATACCTAATCGGCTTGACCACATACATCCCGCCTTCCCCGCCGAACAACTACCTCTCCTACATCCTTCGCAAGCTGGGATTCTCTGTTTTCCAAGCAAATCTTCTCGCCATTCCCTCGCAATTCCTGTTCGCTGTCAACCTACTCATTATCTCATGGGTCTCTGGAAAGTTCAAGGAGCGAGCCATTGTCTCGTCAATCTCTAATATTTGGATCTTCCCATGGCTTGTGGCGCTCGTGGCTCTACCTGCAAGCTCGAGCACCTGGATCAGATATGCCCTGTTGACTGGTCTGCTGAGTTACCCTTACTGCCACGCCATTTTGGTTGGATGGAACGCGAAGAACAGCAATGCGGTGCGAACAAGAGCTGTCAGCGCGGCGCTGTACAACATGTTTGTGCAGGCGGGCAACATTGCTGCATCCAACATCTACCGAGATGACGATCAGCCCTTGTATCGCCGCGGAAACAAGATTCTTCTCGGAATCTGCTGCTTCAACATTGTGCTGTTCTACCTCGTCAAGGCATTTTACATCTGGCGGAACAAGGTTCGCGACCGTGCATGGAATGCTTTGACGAAGGCGCAACAAGAGGACTACACCCTCAACACAACAGACGAGGGCCAGCAAAGACTCGATTTCAGATTCGCGCACTGAAAATTGTTTGTTGTGGAGTTAGCTAGGCCAACCGGTTGTCAGGAGGCTCGATCACCTGTGGCATTCACTATGGAGCGCACGAGCAGGGGCTATGGGGCTGAACAGAATCGCATATGAGCTAAGCATGGATGAAAATTAGACGTCAATACTTGATATGAAAACGACCAATTCAGTACCATAGACTCGAGGCAACTAGTGACTAGACGTCGATTTCATGTTTCGTGAGAAAGGCCAGTTTAAGGAACCAACAGAGATATACATCCTAGACAAAAACGCTCAAGCCACAGGACACCTAGCCCGTGCATATCCTATGCAGGGATTCCCTCTGGGGTGACAAGAAGATTGATGGACGCTTTTAGTGATCGAAACCTTTTACTTACCAACACCCACTTGTGGTCTATGTATTACATCTAATGTGGCTGCTCACAAGCAGTATAGCAGCAGTGTAGGTTTCCATCGTCATCAGAAACGTTGCTGATAATCTGTTTGATGCTCTTAAAGTCCCATATTGGCGATCGGATTCTCGTGTGGCGCCTCAGACGCGATCAAAGGCTAAGCTTATCGGGAATAGAGTCAATTGAAGGCAGGGTCCCTGGTGTCATGAGCCTATCAAAACACGGTCTGAGAGACACTACCATTTCGGCACTGCAGGCGACACCATTCCGGGCGCTATCTCACACCGTCGGAGGGATTGTGATCCTGGCGCGGCACGTAAAATGATCTGAATTCTCTCAGGGGCTTGGCCACACCAAGGCACCAGCGTTTGATGTTTTCTCAGTGAATGCACTTTTCCACCGCCATGCCGTCAACATTGCGATTCTGAACATCACAACGAATGGTGGTTCAGGACTCTTACAGCCTCGGTTTACACACAGAATCGACAAACAGCATCGCACTCACCCCGCCCACCCGTGACAGCAATGGGCAGCGTTCCTTGGGGAGGTTCAGCATGGGCTGAGCTTGACGTTACACGAAACTGCACCGCGTTCGGCGCCTACGCTGCTTGGGTCACGACAGACGACAACGAGCCGCCGTTTCCCACTGTCGCGAGCTTCTGGCGTGCTGTTGTTCCCGAGGTCAATTCAACGCAGCCAACCAATGCGCAAATCATCGATTGGCATGAGTGGGTTCGCTCGAACAGGACCACTCTGGCCCGTCAGGTGGCAGATATCTCGTCATGTCGGCTGGAGTTGTGCCAGGCCATTGGCTCCGAGATTGACGGCGGCCTCGCTGGATTTGGGGTGACCACTTCACATTTGCCTCGTATGTTGATCATGCTAAACAGTAGCAGCTTCTCGCCTCCTACTGTCTCGAAACAGTATTGTTGACCATCTACTGCACATTTGCCCTACTGCGGTATTTCAACAACAGGAAACAGAGCGCCAGCTCGCCCAACGCAGCCCAGGAATCATCTGAAGCTGTCAAGTCTAGCGTCGTCAGTCGCGCTAATGAGGCTTTGAGAGGTACAACATACGACCTCTTTACCGCCGCCGCATTCCTCTCCCTCGGAATCCAGGCTACTGTAATCTATAGCCAAGTCTCTCCAATTCCCTATCGCTATAACTCCTCTTTGCAGCTCATCGTGTCGGCCTTTTCTTTCTATCCTTTGGCAACGATGCTTCCGCTCATCCTCAACTCTGTTCGCCGGAGTTGGCTCAAGGGGGCCGTCCTCGTCGGGTTGTTCATCATCCACACCGCAGCTTGGGTGCTGTGCACAAATAACGCCCAAGTCGACTATTACCACAACTCCAACGTCATCGGTCTTTGCGCCCAAAACCATCCATCACAGGCTGTTGTATCAGCGGCCATGTTCACCATGGCAGCCATGGTTTGGATGCCCCCGCTCTTTGGGCTGTGCCTTGGCGTCGTCCTATGCTTCTACAGATGTAATAATCGTAAGATTTGGCAGGCAAAATGGCTCAAAAAAGTTGCTAAGGGGGCTATGATTATGTACGCGTCCTTCAACTTCATTTGTATGTGGGGCGCTTGGATCATTCTCGTCGTGTTCTTCAGCGGCGCGTCATGGAAGTCAGAGGATGCTTGGAGCTTAGGACAAGCACTGGCTCTCACGCCATGGATTCCAGTGCTGGTCGAACTCATGTCCATCTTGTTTCGTAAGTTCAACCCTCTTGCAATCCCGCAGTCCTCGAGCTAAAATAAGGTAGTTGGCACCGAGGTTGGCTTCGTTGGTCGTTTACCCCTGGAGTTCAAGGTCATCCGCAGTGAGAAGGCTTTGCATCGCCAAGAGGGGGATTTTTTCTTAGACGAAGCTGAGGTCCATGGCGGGAATGGGGCTTAATGTTCACTGAAGCTAAAGGAAGTTCATAGAGCCCTCTTTCTGACACTTACAATCAGATTCCTCGATGTTGCAAGAACGGAAAGGTCTCACTTGTGTATACTTGGTGTCCTTTCGAGTCCCGATTGATGAAGCTTGAACACAGATTCAACTGCGGTAACAGCTGAGATCAGTGGTTGTTTCCAACCGAATCACCTCAGCTACGTGCGCCAAACCAGCGCCAGTAGCATGTCTCAAGGGGTGGGCAAGTAACCGCATATCAAATTCCTGGACCTTGAGTCATAGCCCTATCAGATTTCTTGCTTGGTGATGTTCATGAAATTTTGTAGCGCAGGCTGGTTGGGTGTGTGGGTGTCACCCAAGAGTCGTTTTTATCACCACTAGACTCGACTCAGATCAAGGAACACATTGCCGAACACCTTGAGCAACTAGCTTTGAGATCAGTTTATGGCGATGAATCGACCGAAGATGATGAAAACGACGAAACAATGTCGCAAAGCGCTAGCGACAACATGTTTGAGCGTGGGTATAAAGTGCGCTTCTTGCAGGCTTTTGCCAATGAACAAATTGCCAATCTTGGTCAAACTCCGTAGCCACCGGAAATCACTGATCAGGATGATCTTCGTGATGCGTCTGACGATGAGCCGTCAGAGCACGGCTCAGTCAGAGCTTCTGGACCGGGTGAATCAGCACGCAATTGGCGTGTGCAGAAGCTGACGAGGTCCAATGTCACGCTCAATCACCATCACATCTTTGATTCCGGCTCACGTAACCGAAGAGGACGCTCAGGCACTGACTCAACTTTGAGATTTCCTGTCATTGAAACGAGAATATTCCCCAAGGATGACGGCTTCAAAGGTCGCGAGAAGGAGCTTGCGAACCTGTATTAGATCCTCTCCGAGCCGGGTTGCGTGTATGTTCTCAGCGCGGAAGGTGGGATGGGAAAGACAGCTTTCACAGTCGAATTCACGTACCAATACGAGCAGTCATTCGAGTACATCTTTTGGGTTCAAGCTGAGACACCAATTGGTGCCTCCGAGACGTTCAATCAGATTGCCATGAGCCTCGCGTCGGCAGCCTCTGGAACGAATCAAGAGACCCTCACGAAGTTAGGACGGGAGTTTCTGGAGTCAACCAAAGCCCGGTGGCTGATGATTCTCGACAACGTGGATAGGTGGTATCATATCGACTCTTTCGTACCAATGAAGACTTCTGTAACGATGGGAAGCATCCTAATCACAACCAGACACCAAGGCCTCACGGCGCCTGCTCGTCCTATTGACCATTACCGCCAGAACCTTAAGGAGCTTACAGATAGCGAGGGAAGGGGCCTATTACTTCACGGTCTTCCACAAGAACTTCAAACGGCAACGCGTTCCATGAAGGATCCTGAATTCAAAGCAGCTGGAGACCTGGCGTCATTTGCTGGTCTCCCGTTTATTATTGTCCTGATCACGTGCTACATGAGGGCCATGAATTGTCAGCCATCCGAGTTTTCCAGCTACTGGGATGCCTGGTGGGTGGACAACAATCCACATGCCAGGGCAGAAAACAGAAAGACTTCAAAGGACAAATTAGAGTCTATCATTAAGGTATCAGTCAACGATTTGAGCAGCGATACTAGCAAAGTCCTTCGTATTATCTCGTTCCTCGACAGCGATGGTGTTCAGAAGGAGCTGCTAACACTCGAAAAGAGTCAACAGGGACCCAGCTATCTACAAACCTGGAGGTGTGTATTATCAATCAATGTATTGATTACTCAATCAAGCTAATAGTTGAATAGGGTCGTGGCCATACTCAGGGACTTGTTGCTGAGCACTTCATCACGGAGCAAAATCACAACGGCAAGCAGACCTATATCGTGCATAGATCAGTTCAAGCTCGTATTCTACGGGAACTACATCAGAAGTCTCATCAAGCAATAGAACTGTTCAATTTGGTTGTTGAACTTGTTCGTCGTCGGCTTCCGCGTCCATCATTGGAAACCCCAGACCCTCAGAAATGGAATCAATTTCAACAATACCTGCCTCATGTCGCCACTCTGCAACGAATACACTCAGACCAGAGTAATGTTGTCACAGTAGCTCCTTTTCTCGAACTTGCAGAGTTGTTCAAGGATGGAGGTGTATTGTGTGGCAACGCTACCTGCGAAGCGACGCGATGCGACTCTTGATAACGGCGGAGAGAATCTTGGATCAGTTTGAAACTAGCCACGAGGGCCTCAAGGCCGAGATACACGTCACCATGAATCTTCTATTGCAGTACCTGGGGATATCGCGCAGTAGATAAATCAGCGATCGCGCACAGAAGAATTTCGAATTCCACAAAACACGCACTGCACAGAGGGAACGAACGGGTGAGATCACGGACGGCGACAAAGTAGGCTCATCAACGCCAATGCCGACTACGCCAACTCGATGCCGCAATGCAATGACTTCAGGAAAGCCAAGCCGATATACAAAGAGTGTCGTAAAGCGCTACTCAAGATCATTTCCGAGGAAAAGGACCCATTTGCTTTTGCGAAGCTTACATACCGTCTAGCTTATGTTGAGGAAGTTTCGAGCCCACCCAGTAGGGGTTTTCACAGTAGGGGAAAAAGCAGTAAAAGCACCTCGGTCAGTGCCCAGTCCAGTAGCTTCGCAGTATACGTACCTAAGGGTCCGGAATAACTGCCCGCGCCGACCTCGACTCGCCCACGTACAAGCGAAAGCATCTGGGCCAGACGTACATACCATTGTGGCTGTCAGCCTCGTTGACGATGGCTTCGTTGCCAGCAAGGTCGACAGCCTCGCCCGCGTGACTCACGCAGTGATGGCTTCACAAGGTCTTCAGCCACGGAAAAGCTTGTCTTGGCCACGTACTCAAGACGCCGCTGCTCGCCAAGCCTCGAGCCCATCCCTCATCCTCAATCCTATGTCAATACCACTACTTGAAGCAAGAAAGTGATGAGATTGTCTGATGGATGGCGCGCGTGGGGGAAATGGGGCCGAAGAGATGGCGATTTGCGGGAGATCACGTGACCAGTAGGCCGTTGGCTGAAGGGGGAAGTCGGAGGCCGTTGCAGTACAGGTTCCAGGTAAAAATCACAGTAGCTGGCCAGAGGCCCCCGTCTAGCTTATTGCAGCATGTATCAACATGACTTTGCAAGTGCTGAGCAGCTCGGACGCAAGGCTGTTGATTTGATCAAGAATGTTGGTGACGAACACCTCCTTCTTCGATTTCAATTCGATCTTGCGTGCGTTATGATACAGGGGGGTGATCGTTCAAGAGCTTTGGACTTGCACGAAAGAATCCTAGCTGATAGAGTAAGAGTCCACGGCAAAGACAGCTATTTCACTCTTCAAAGCCCGTACGCTGTTTGTGCGAGTTACCCCCATATGCAACGGTGAGACCAAGCTGAGTAATTATATCGACCCAATGGCTCCGATCATGTTTTTAATTCATTCCAGGATGCAAATAGGCAGTGTACTGTGGAAGGACGCCGCCGTCGCGCGGTCAAAATTCCATCTTTCCATAATACTGACTGCACGAAACGGTTGAAAGCCTCCTGAAGAGGCACAAACTCTGGCACGTGATAGTAGAGACTTACTCTCGAGGCTTTTCTTCTACGACGACATTAAGGGCGTTAGGGACGAGGACACAAGTGCCCTGTTCGATCATTTTCAGCCGGTCTTTGGCGGACGCTGGACTGAAACTCGTCTGCTAAAGTACGTCTCTTAGAGGCCAGGATGACGGACCATGGGCAGTTATCATAACTTTCAATTGATTTTCAAACAAGCTACTTTGTATTTCTCCTGCATCCCTTTTTCCTTTGGATGAGTCTTGCCGTCAATCGCAGTGATCGCCTAGATACAAAGCCGTCAAGCTCCTGCGACACCTCACAGTAAACATCACCTTCGCTAGTGGCCAACATCTGATGTAACCTGACACAAACAATTATCATCCGTCCATACCCATTGAAAACGGCAGGCTTCTGAGCTCTGAGACTCGCGTTCAGCATGGGTATCGGGGAACATGGATGCTTGCATTTACCCCGCAAGATAGCTCTCAATAACCTACCTGTTTTGAACGTCACGGCTTATCTAGGACTAGGGGGTTTATCTCCCGTAAAATCCGCCAGGCAGCGGGAACATTCCACGTCTTCATGCGTCCGCCTGCATCGGGCTTATCTAGCTACTTTTCGGGGTAGCCGTTAAGTGCGCAAACTTCGCCAGTTCTTGTCCCCGCCCCCAGGTTTCATTGCATTCATCATCCCGAGATTGTAGTTGTAGGAAGGACCGACGTTCAGCTTTGTGCATATTTCAGAATACGTTTTGAGCGGCCCCGGTCAACCTCGTTAGTATCTACGTGGCAATGCATGATTTGGCGCAGATACCGCCAGGGTTCTTTTCGGGAGATGCGAGTGACCGAGAGAGATGATAGGACTGTATCGGCATCATCTGATGCCGGAGGCTTGATGATTTCTGCCGAGAACATCTTGTTTTGTCAGGTATCGACAGCCTTCGAGAGGCAACTCCGTCACTAAGACCAGAACAGCCGACCCTAATCCAGCCAGCTCCGCTTTCTTTCGAAGTAATTCATTGAGGAGCACTTTTCATTGCAGGGCTTCTGTTCCAATGGGCACTACTCTTCCTGGGGCTTGTCTGAAGCTCGGGGCCATGCATGTGTCTTTCAATTTGATGTGTTGGAGCCTTTGCTGATCAAAGTAGGCACGGTCATTGGCTGAGTTGGATTGGGGAATGCTCGCAGTTACGTACTACTTGAACCCTCGGTCTCCAACTCAAATTTACCATTTGAAGCCGTCGATTGAATCTTAATGTTATCAATATTGCCTGTCGTAGTTCTACCTGGCGAAACGCAACATCTCTCAGCGCGATATGGCGAATAGAGGAGTTTCTTGGGACACCTTGATCCACAGCATTCAAGATCTGAAGGACCACGGAAGCCGAAGACTCCCAAAGATGTATCGAGGTACGTATATCCTGTCGTGTGGCTTATGCAGTCATCTGCTAACATTAGTTTTGAGATTACTTCAACGAGGGCGCTATGGATCTACTCACGTACGCCTTCCACATGAAGCTTTCTGGCTAATGAATATTAACATCCCTAGTGTGAAGGAGAATGAGGAAGCTTATGACTACTACAAGATTCAACCTCGTGTCCTTGTCAACGTCGATAATGTCAATATATCCGGTGAGATTTTCGGTTTCAAAACAGCGTTGCCCTTGGGCTTCAGCCCTGCAGCCATGCATGGTCTAGCTCATCCAGACGGCGAGATTGCAACTTCGAGAGCTGCAGCAAAGATGGGAATCTGTATGGGTCTATCATCGTATGCAACCGCATCACTGGAGGATGTTATTTCTCAAGGTGCTGGGAATCCCTACGTAATGCAACTGTGCATTTTGAAGGATCGGTCGATTACCCTCCAAATCCTCCAACGGGCAGAAGGTGCCTTTCTAAAGTCTTTCTCTGTTCGACACTCGCACAAGCTAATACTGTGACCACCAGCTGCTGGATACAAGGCAATTTTACTTTCCGCCGATACTCCCTGCTTAGGCCGACGTTTGAACGAGTATCGAAACAACTTCAGTCTCCCGGACGGGATGTCCTGGCCAAACCTACTCTCTGATGGGAAAAGCGAGCTCCGTGCCTCCAGAGATCAGATTGGAAAAAGCGACGAGGTGCCGGCGGAGCCTAGCAAGCATGACTATGGCCCATCGGTTAACTGGGACAGTTTGATCCCTTGGCTGCGCCAGCACACGAAGCTGCAAATATGGGTCAAAGGAATATACGGGCCTGATGACGTCCGAGTTGCCATTAAGCATGGATTAGATGGCGTGGTAATATCTAACCATAGTGGTCGACAGCTGGATGGAGTTCCGGCCTCGATTGACATTTTAAGACAGTGTGCCCCTGTGGCGCGAGGAAAGATTCCAATCACTGTGGATGGGGGTATTCGCCGAGGCACCGACATCTTCAAGGCTCTCGCTCTGGGTGCCTCGCACTGTTTCGTGGGCAGGATCCCCATATGGGGCCTTGCGGTTCGCTATCCATCAAATTCCTTACACGCAGCAGTACGAAAACGTTCCTAACAGCTCATTCTCCAGTACGACGGCCAAGAGGGAGTCGAGCTAGCGCTGAAAATTCTCATGTACGAGTTCAAGGTGGCTATGTTGCTGGCCGGGTGAGTCGAAGCGTGTATGAGGAAAGCTGAAGACAGATGCTGACCGTTTCCGCAGTTGCAAAAGCGTCAAGGACATCACTCAAGATCACTTTGTGTACAAGAAGGCGGACGGGATATTGGCAAAGCTGTAAATATCTGATTTTGCGGCAATGTGTAGTTCATTCCATTAGTTTCTGTAAGGGGCTGGCCCCTAGGCTTGTTCAACGTAGAGGTGCCGTTGATTGACTATTCTAAGCTGAAGAGGAGAAGGACTTTACAAGAGTGGGCGCCTAGCTACGGAGATACGTGGTCGGGCTAGGCGGTGTGCCACGGTAGAATAGTGGATCCGGCGGAGCCGGATCTCGGTAACTGCCCCGGCAAAGCCGGAGATCTCGGCCGGGCTCTAGCCCGTGACAGTTTCATTCTAAAGCATCATTTCATCATTCATTGTACACTTGCTTTGATGGCTTAGCCGCGGAATAACCTAACACTTTTCATCGTGGTATGGATTCAAATCTCAGTGTTCCTCTGATCCTGCGTAATACACCTGGCATTGCGCGGTGTGTGTGACAAGGCCCAGATCCTCTATCTGTCCGCCCAGCCAGTGCTGACAGGCAGCATCCAAAACAACAAAAGGTGTAACGAAATGGCCCACAGTCTTTCATATCCAATTCAGTACTTGATGAGATATTCTGTTGTTTTGAGAAACGCATGCGTCAAATAACGACGCAACTGCGCTTTCTGTCTCGACACCCCAAGAAGCGGGCGCATCGGGATATCGAAGTGAATGTCCTGGCTTTTGCGGGGAAACGGGTCCACACCCCGGACGTGGAGGCTTGCCTTTTCGGGCACCCAAAGAGTTTCGTTGTGCATTGCCAGATGAGACTACCGTTCTGGCCATGTTTTGAATGTTTATCGCAGGAAAGGAGCCGAAAGTGCTCAGTCTGGGCATTGCCCTTCCCATTGAGGAGGTGCTTGGAATCCAGTAGATTTCATCGAGGACTCTATCCGCTTTCATCGCGCTCCACCAGAGAACCCGTTTGAACTTTTCCCTTCACGATCTCTGAGAACATTTGATGTTGTTTTTGAATAGACGACAGCATATATAATAGCCAGTCATTCTAAGGTTTATCACTTTGTTCAATCAAGCAGCAACCTCCTCATCCTCACACAGTTCGAAACTTCAAGTCCATTGCCATCATAACATCCCTCATCTCTATATCGTGGAACCCAACATTCGCCATGCTCGCCCCTAAGCACAACGATATCACGGGTATTCTCGTTGCCCTCATTACACCTTTCAAGCCTGATGGGTCCGTCAACGAGACCGCCCTTGCAGAGCATGTGAACCGACAAATCGAAGCCGGCGTTCACGGCCTTGTCCCGGGGGGTAGTACCGGAGATTTTACCGCCCTTACGGTTCAGGAACGTAAGACCGTCATCGAGGTCTGTGTCAAAGCGGCTGCTGGTCGCGTTCCTGTTATTGCTGGAGCTGGCGACTTGACCACTACCGGCGCAATCGACCATGCAGTTCATGCTGCAAAGGTTGGCGCTAAGGCCGTCATGGTTGTGCCCCCTTTCTACGACCCTCCCAACCTCCAGCAGCTTCGCAGTCTGCTTCAGGAAATCCATAGCGCTAGTGGTCTCCCTATTGTGTACTACAATATCCCATCTGCCAGTGGTGTCAACCTTTCGGTGGAGGAAGTTGCCGGCCTCTCAGAGGTTGGTGTTAAGTACATGAAGGACACCTCCGGCAATGCTCCGGCCCTCACCGAGCTTCTTCTCACTACCGGAGATCGCATTACGACTTTTAACGGCTGGGACACCCTGACATTCTACGGATTGGCGGCCGGAGCTACCGGATCTGTGTGGGGTGCGACCAACATCATTCCCGAGCTCTCTGTCGAGCTTTGGAATGCTCTTGCAGTTGAAAATGATATTCAAAAGGGTCGAGAGGTTTGGGCTAAGATTTGGCCCATTACCAAATTCCTTGAGTCACATCATTACTCATCGGCTGTTAAGACGGGCATGGAAGTGCGCGGTTGGAAGACGGGTGGAGTCAGGAAGCCGTTTGCTCTCCTGGAAGACAACCACAAGGCAGAGCTAGCTGCTCTGCTCAAGAAGGCTGGCGTTCCTTTGTAATTAGAATCTTCTGCAATAGTGTCGAATAATGCGTATTAGAAACTATCAGTTGTAGGCAGAACACACAGATTCTCATTACCTTTCCTTCATACAATAACCTACCACGTGATCAAACCAGGGAATACTTCCCGTGAACTCGGCATCCAGCTTGTTCTTTCCCGTCAATGTTTTCGATCAATGATGTTTTTAACGATCGATTTCAAGCTTTTCCAAGCTTATAGCTACCATAGAACGTTCATAAGATAAAGTTCTGAAAGAAAACACATCATACATCCAATTATTATTTATACAGAACATGAAATATCGGAGGCTTGTACACTACCTCCGAGGCCAATGCCTCCAATAGCTTGCCGCTTCGCCCACAGCGATGAGATGACCTCCATGGCTGGTCTCGACGTAAAGTAAACACCTCGGCTGTCTGTGATGGAAATGATGTGTCTAGCTCTATCCTGAAGGTCCGGCGAGATTGCCTCGCGAGCGCAGATGAATGCCGCCCACGCAAGACTCAAAGCAAAGTCATCGCTGTTGATCATTTCACTAATTCATGATTCTAGTTGTTCCAGAGCCTGCCGCACAACGTCCTGAAGTATCATAGCACTGACATCGTGTACCTGACGGTAGAAGTAGATGATCAATGCTCGATGAATCGCCGAAATCATCGCCTGGTTCCGAGGATGACAAACAAGGTTGGGACCTTTGGTACAGAATGACACATCGCCGGTTAGAATCATCGATACTTCGGAGGACGAAGACCAAGTCCAGATTCTGTCCTCCAAAGTCTTGATGTGGTGTTTCAAGTCAGCCGCTAGCTTCGGGTCGCACCTAGCACGAGTCTCCAGACGGTTCTTTTCGTTTGCAAGAGATATCTTTCACGATAATAATGTCATGAGTGACTCCGTAATGCCATGGATTCGAGAATGCAGAGTCTCCTTCCAGCGCCCTTGTACTTGGAGATGGATGTCACCATATCCAACTTTCGAGTTCTTCTCAACACCAGGGTCGAGTCCAATGTTTAGCAGATCCTCGCTGATCCGAAAAGAACCAGATTCAGGAACCTGGGGAAAAGCCTCAGCTTGTTCTGAATCAACTGAGCCATCATCTAGAGCATATATGCCCTCCGCAATGACGCGAAGGTACGTGTACACGTGATGAAGTACGCGAATGAGTTCGGGGTTCTCCTCTGCCAAGCCTCGGACCCTGATCAGCCGCTCTGCATCAAGCAGAAAGATTCTTGCGGTTCGATTTCCTTGGTAGATCTTTCCAGTTGGTCAGCGTAAACCTCGAATTAGTCAGTCCACTGACATCTACTTACCGATATCATTGCCATTGCTATGAAGGCCATCAACAACTCTTTATACTTGGTCTGCTCTGAGTCGCTTGCCTCAGTCTCAACGGCGCTTCTCAGATGTTTCTGGGCTCTGTCCCTATGCTTAACTCCTAGATTATGCCAATAGTCCGATTGCGACTTTGAGTCAGATTTGTGAAGTTGAAAGGCGCTATGAGAAAGAAGTGCGCAGAGGATTGCTGACCGAGTATGCGATGTGCCGCCGAGAAGAGACGGTTCTGCGAATGTCTCGAATGCGCATGGAAGAAAGAGGAGCTTCCACGGTGATTTCCACCTGCTGGATTGGATGCATGTTGGTGCGGACTCTATATGAGTTTTGTAGTAACGCAATAGCGCCTGGGCTTGTTCGGGCATATCTGACCTTGCGTCGAGATTGATTGACAGAGGAGGTGATGGGACTGTGTCCTCGACTGCAACTTGATTGGTCACACTAGTGTCGCTCCCAAGTGTGGACATGTCCTTTTCGGGGACGGCCCCTTCCTCTGCAAGATAAAAATCCGAAATGGCCTCCAAATCGGTTGGGATGTCAGCCAAAAGGTCAGAGATCGAGCCTGTAAAGGCTTCGGTAGAACTAAGGACATCGTCCTGGCCCATTTAAAGGTCCATATTGTCAAGAAAAGACTGGAAGTCTATGTTCTGGTCGGGTGGTGACCAGTTAAACTCGATGAGATCACCAGGAAGTCCGATGGACTCCTCCGTTCCCTTGTCATCTGTGTCAGAGGCCGTATGATGTGTTGACCCAGATGAAGATGAACGGCTGGCAACTGAAGTCATATCACTCTCATCCATGCGAAATACTCCGAACGGGCCTTGAGCAACACTAAAATCGGTGTTGGTGTCACTTCTTTTGGAGGCCGAGTCTAAGTCGGCCAGAATGCTTCCTGCGGATTTCGAGCCGAGACTCCTGGACAGCCTGGCACACATTGCACGACGTTCCGCATCTAGAGAATGCGAATCAGAGTCAGCGGCATATAGGTAGGAAGAGTGGCCTGGCCAGACGTACCGGAAAAAAGCGGATAGCGGTAATCAGATGTTTCTGGGTCCCGAGGCTCCAACCTTCCGGTGGCGTCACCGTCTGCGATCCAGGACAAGCTTGGAGTATAGCCACCGCAGGTGACCCCTAGACGTATGCAGGCATTGCATTCTGGTTTGCCCTCGTCACATTTGGCATGACGGGCCCGACAAGATCGGCATCCAGTGAATGTCCGGGTGTGCTCGGCCCGGTATCTGACTGATTTAGGCATTTGTTGACAGTCTTCAGGGGGTCCAACTTTGTGGGCTTAGGAACAAACTCCTTGCAGGGCGAATGGAATTATGCTCAACTGAATCAGGCGCTACCACGTATCCGCGCGCAGATGAAATTGCACAATGGTGTCAATCGGGCGTGACGAAGTTCAGAGTTCACAAGAGCAGATTGCTCAGTTATAGGCATGTCTCCACGGACTAGATTAATCGGTGGCATCCTGAGAACCCCGCAGCGCCAAAAGTAGTGAGGCAGGGGAGTGGTGAGCAACGTCTCCCCAACAACAGATCGGGAAGGTTTCCACGGCATTGTTTTCGGAAACCCACACCACCTGGCAAAAGTGTTTGATAACGTCTGATAGCCTACTAGGCTCGATTGCAACAGCTTGCTAGAGAAGATCAAGCTGCATATCGAGGCATGTT